ATTCCTGCCACTCGTGTTACCTCTTTGTAATCACTTTTTTCCTGAGGTTGATTTCGACAATTGCTAAGAAAAAATGTATTTTTTTTTTTTAAACCTAACAGGCACAGTGTGAGAATGGTAAAATGAAGATTTGAAAATGCATGTGTGTGTGTGTGTGTTCAACAGATGCTTAACATACCTTCTTCGAACTGGCCCGGAATCGTATCGTCTTTAAATGAAATGTGTGTAATATAATTTTGTGTAGGAGTTTTATTGCTCATGCTCCGTTTGTGTTGTTACTGTAAAACACTGCGACTGCATTTAAAAAAAAGGGAAAATCCACCGCGCTGTAAACACGCGCGAGTAAACAGAAGCACTCGGTTTGTTTGTAGGTCATTACACATTACTGATGGTTTTTTTTTTTTTTTTTTTACATACACTACTGTCTTTAATTTTTAGACTATATTTTTATATCTACTTGCATTTCTTAAATTATAGAAATATTATGTAAGGTATGAAAACAAATTATTTTATTACTTATTTAGCTAATCAGTTACTAATTTAACTCGAGATGAACTGAACATTTATCAGTTTCAATGCAGAACCATGGATTCTAGGAGTAGTTTTGTCATCCAACAGTTCAGGGTCGTAACCTGTTGTCTGTAGGTGTTAATGCCGTTAGCTGTGGCACTGACACTTAAAAAAAAAAAAAAAAATCATATTAAAGCTTTTGTATTTGATGCGTGATCGTTAAAATTGAACTCGGAAATTTCATTTTGTATTTGATGCGTGATCGTTAAAATCGAACTCGATTTAATTCTTGTTACGAAATGGAAACCAAAGGTAACTAAAATGGAAGCGTTTTGCTGAATGAGTCATGCCTCCGGAATGAAGAACACCCCAAGAGTCCCGAGGATTAAAATGCAACGTCCTTTTAATCCCATTTCAGTTTGCTACATCTCATACAGTAAGCACATGAACGAGACAGGGCAACACACACACACACACAGAGTCCAGTCACTGAGCAAATAGAGAACAACTTCCCAACAAGAGTAGCCTCCTACGGTTCTGAGGCCGTCGTCATCGCAGTCTCTGAGATCTCGATGCGTCGGGACATGCAGTGAGATTACACTAGAGAAAAACACAGTGTGTACAACTCTGGTCTGCAGACAGCCGCTAATTCACAGTTAGGTTTGAAAAGTGCACACGGGGTACTAATTGTGTAAGTAGCAGGAGGTACATAATCTCTAGTGTCATCAGAATAGCGTAACACGCGGTCAGTGTTACTGAGCTCGACAGAAGACAGCAGCACTTATTGGATGTAAAAAATAAACGACGTGACATATCAATATTCACAAAACTATTTTGTATCCATTTCACAATATCTACAAGTTCACAACTTGGTAACACGTTTCTGAGCAGTTAGAGACGTCGCCGTTTACGACAACCGGTCGATGTGATCTATTTGTCTACAGCTTTCTACAAGTGGTTTGCATCAGTTCTGTAGAGGTTATACTTTATTAACATATTATATTCAATGCTTTACTGAGTAACATGAATGCATTTATATAGTAATATCTTCTTAATATACCTTAGAGGATGACATGGTTTAACTCTGGCCCTGAAAGGAAAAGATCCAGAACATGGATGACAGCAGTACAAGTTTTGCATTGATGACGATGTTGGGAATGGGGGAAAAAAAAAACGTAGTATTCCAATGGCTAGTATGTCACTGATACGCAAATGGTACTAAAATTAACAATTACAGGTGATCAGTTCACTCACAGAGTTGCGTTTCTCAGAAGATCATGGCCTCTGGCTCAGCTTCAACACATCGAGAACGATTCTGCCGCGGCCGTCAGTCAGAAGCTAACGTTGCTTTGACGTGTTCTATGGATTAAGAAGTCTTAAAGACTAAGAAAATGTAGTCTCTTCTGGTTCACAATTTCAACATATACGTGCCATACGAACTGCAAAATGGCTGCAATTGTTGGCTTTTCTCAATGGAATTGTTCGTGCGGCTAAATGCACACAGTCGGTTTTGTGAATGCAGTGCAGGTCAGAAACGGTTTGTACTGAATATCCTGTGTTAAAGTACCGTTGGTTATCTTTAGAGACATATTTGTTCATTCTTCATCGTTTTGAATGTTGGATCAAGTATCGAAAACACAGTTTGTTGGTCCATCTCTTGTCACGATGAGCTCACTGTTCACCGTCATTCTGTACCGTGAACCCTACAGATGAACGAACGAGTGGACACGATGGAAATGAACAGATGACACCGAGATATCCGTATAAACGAGCTCAAAGCTCAAGCATTGAAAAAAAAAAAAAAAAATATTCGTCTTGGTTGGACACCATTGGACAATATCAAATGTACATCCTGCAGGAAACACTTCCCTCACTCTCCTTCCTACTGTAACCACATGGTAAGAACGGCCAAAGGTCTGAAGCTCCTCTGGTGGACTGTTAGTAATGTTTCCCAACATTTACACAACAGTTAATTTCATTGTAATATTCTACTGTACAGCTGGTGTGCTCGCTTTCCGTTTGCGACGTTGTGAGCGCGTGGATGAAGCACAAATTTGAACGCATCTTTGCTAAGATAGAGATACAGACGGTGTTGGCTTCCTGAAGGTAAATGATCTTGTCGCTGATAATTAATTACTCCAAACGTCTTTTTTTTTTTTGTTTTTTGTTTTTAATAAATCCATCTAGAATACTTAGCAGCAGTGACTTAGAACTACTTAGGGAAATACCTTGACGGCACTACTTTACGGATTCATACATAAACACGAGTAGTACGTATCATCGGATTAAATTAGCGGCGGGATCTAGCTATAGTCCTATAATTGTTAAAGGCTCCTCTCATTATCATCTGCTCTGGTATTAAATCTATGCATCAGTTAAAGAAAAATATGTTCGCAATTTTTGGTCTTTGCAAACAGAAACAGCAAACATTATTTGTCGTAAAGTACAATAAGACCTGACGGAAGCAGTGCTTGTGCAGCGCTAATCAGAATAACGGATAACCACAAGCCGCCGATGGCTAACCAGGGCTACGTAAACCTATCAATCTTGCGGATGTTTGTTATTAATAAACAGCTATGTAGAAGTGCTATTGAAATGATACTCCGTTGACTAATGATTGCATTTATTAAATGTGCGTTCTATGAATACAAAGACGAAGGGGAAACGATTCTGTACGCTACGTTTAATGCGATGTGTTGACAACCTCCTCATGTCTCGATAAGTATCAATAATTAAATGTGTCTGCAGCGATGGAGGAGGAGTGGAAAACATTAAAATTGGAGGCTCAAATCAATCCCGCCTCCCATCACTAATGCAAAGACTGGTCGATCTAATCTAACGTTACTGAGGAGATCACTCGTCTGATCATTTGACTGATAGCTGACCGTGATTTAATGGGCCCCAAAAGCCATTTGGTTAAAGCTGGGTGGCGAATGGAGAGCCTAATATTTCTCTCATTAATAACAACAACATTTACAAAATGTTGGGATGAAACGGTTTAAATCATAGCAACATTAACGTTTTAGCCGTTGACCGACATCAAATATAAAAACCTTCTGCAAAGTAATTATTCAATGAATTTTTAGCTCTTACTAAATGTTAAATGTCGGTTTTCCTCCTTAAGCCTCATTATGATGTCCTTGTGTTTTTAGGCTTCTCAAATTGAAGTAGAACTTGAAGACCTTGAAGCAGTGAGTAGCCACCAAAAACACTGCTGGATCGAAATGGAGAAGAAGAAAAGAAAAGAAAAGAGTCTCTGTTTCCAGTGCCGAAGAAGAAGAAGAAGAAGAAAAAAAAAGTCTCTGTTTCCAGTGCCACTGGAAAGACAGGAAGTGAAAGAATTCAACATTTTGTTGACACAAAATGTCCGTGAATGAAATTAGTTTTTAACGATCGGAGCAACAGCAGCGACAGAAAACAAAGGCACCAGGGTGCCTGGCCACAGATGTCACATCAGGAGCCAAAAAACATAAATGCTGCCCATAATTGTTCTGGTCTATGCTGGATCCTTTAATCTCTCCGCTTCAATTTTTTTTTTACAGACAGAGGTCTGTTAGCCTTCCACACTAATGGGCAATTTTACACTGGCTGCCCAAGCGTCTCGGGGCTATGGGTGGTCGGAGCGAGGAGAAGTCCATTAACTGCAGTGTAGACACCAGTCCATGTTTATCATGTAATATGCACACACATAGGTAGGTGTACCCCTGTACGCAAGTCTGTGTGTGTGTCTTCCCGATTTGTGTGTAATCCTCATGGCACAGAGCACCTCCGTCATCAAACACAGTGGGCCAGTTAAACAATAAGAGTTGCCGGACTAGAAAATACAGCAACCTCGAGGGATGCAAAAGCAATTCCAGATGATGCCGCATTGAGTCTGGAGTGAATCTGGGCCTGACCCGAAGGCTAGACGCCGAAGGTTATTAATGACGCTTTTATAGAACGACGTAGGCCGCCCGCCTGCTGGCTAACTGGCTAACGCAGTGCTGTAAAAAAAATGACTACAGATGCCTCGGGCGTGATCCGATGTTTGGCGCGTGCCGTGCGTGTTTTTCTGCTCGACGGATGTGCGTCTGGAACGAGCTCCAACGAAACGTCGAGGCATGCTTGCTTCGACTCATTACAAGCGAAGATGCACCGACGTGTCGAAACACAATCGATAAAACACGCGCGATCTACGACTACGCTACGAAAATGACGAGCACTCAGGAGACACTAGGAGGAGGGCTCGGCTAGTCGCTAAAGGGTACAGGGCCAGAGCTAGCTTTGGCGGGGAGAAGAAAAGAAAAAAAAAATAGATATTGCAACCAACACAGTCAGATGTGACAGTTTGCTCCCTTCATTACCCACAACTACATCTGAATTTATTGTATCTTCATGCTCACCTTCCATCTTTACAGACGTGCAAAATATCAAACTTCTGAGAAAGAACGGACGAATACAACACACCCACGCACACATACTCTCACATACTCTCTCTCTCTCTTCCTCTCCTCTGTACACACACACACACACACACACACACTTTAGGACTGTCACTTTTTAATCCATAACCTAAACGTCTGTTTAGACACCGAGGGCTGTTTCACTTTTGATTTTTTTCTTCCAAATTTGAATGACACACGCATCCCTCGCAGCCAATCTGAACCTGGGCCTTACCATGTTCCCACCTCAGAAGCTCATCAACCAAAGTCTAACATTTCAGTGGGAACAGCTGCTGCGGAGGAGTCTCTGCGTACGCTGCTGCAGGCTAGAACTACCCATGTGACCGCACGAGGCCTGATGGCGGTGCACTCTCTCGCGCCCCGTAGACGGGTACAAGCAAGACACATCTCCTAAGGTTAAGATTATTACGAACTAGTTGACTCATATGAAACCAGAGCATCTAAAAAGCCTGTGCTACTTCTCAGACGGCCTGGAGTCATATTTGGTCAAGGGGTGACTTTGTGGCGTCAACTTGCTCGGCTTGTCTTCCAATCGCGAGCGCGATGACGTTCTGTTCACAGGGTGAACGAGTGAAGACCGTTCAGCCTTCAGTGACTAAGCTCTTCTTTAGGCATGGGAAAAAAGTATAACATGTCATGTAAAAATTCATGGAACTTCCTTGTTGGGAAAAAGTGACAGTCCCAGAACACAGACAGTAAGGTATTATGGACTTGGGGCCTCCTGCAAACATTGTTTACCGTCAGAACCGTTCCTGATGTGATGGAGTCTAGCGTTGGGTCAAATTTAGTCTAGGTTGTCTTTCATAATGGCGGGTTTTCTGTTGACATATGTGGCCCAGTAACCTAAGTTAAAAATAAAAAACAGAACTGGGAAGATGATGCGCGATATCTTGTCCACTTTGCTGACACGGTTGTAGGACTTCTTGGCCTCTGTGTAGGGATCGACCATTTTCTGCAGGTAGTGGTGTTTGGCCGAAGCTCCGGTGGCACTCTTGGAGATGGTTGTGAGGCCCTGGTCTTTCGCTACATTCATAGCGTAGGTGGTTCCAACAATGTTGAAGGTGTTGTTGGCCTTTTTGGACAACGTCGCCGATTCTCTTCTCTGAAAAGGAAGGCAGTAAAGTGAGAGTCATGAGACGCAGAGCACCAGACCCACCAATACTTCCATTTGAACTCATAAAGAGGAAATAGAAGCAACACCACGAGACACGACACACACAAGAACAAAACAAGCCTAACCATATCTTTAATCCTTTCGATGTTAGCCTGAAACGGTTCCTGAAAAGAAAAGTAGAAAAAGAAAAAAAGTTTACTAATTATATTAAAAAACCCCATCTCACATCCTCTCTTCATCACTCTGTCTAACTGCTACTTTTTTCCAAACATTGTACCATACTAATGATATATGTTTCAAATCTGCATCTTTAAATATGGATTGCAGAAAAAGGAAAAAAAAAAAGAAAAAAAATGCCATGACAAAAATTCATGACATAAAAATGAGGAAAAACGCATTTTCTACTGTAGTGTCGCTGAAGAAGCAGCCTGGTACTGCAGCCTGGTACTGCTCGAAGTAGCATCACAGCACAGGATTAGAAACAACGCAACACAACACTGCCTGAAAACATGTCCGACAGATTGTATCAGGGAGAGCAGCCAGGCCTCTTCAGACATACAGCTCGCAACTAAACAAATTTGTCAAACGCTGAGAGGGAGCGAGGCAGCAGCTGAAGCCATTGTTGCTTTTTTACCAGAGAGAAATGATGGCTGTCCTTTATATTTACGTCCGAGGCCACATGGCGAAAGAGTAGTTAGCGCCTTCCGGCAATAACTAGCGTTGTTAGATGGTCATTATGTATGGACTTTGCATCCCTTTTTCCCTCGCATGTAGGGGTTTCCTGCTCGATTCCGCCTTTCTCTAAAAAAACACCATGGGTATGGATGTGAGTGTAAGAAGTATTTTGACTCCATATGTGGCCCAGGTATGGCCAATGGAGTACACGCTATGGATGTACCCCGCCCTCACCCCACGATTGGTGTAACGGTCTCAAGCCTACCAACTCTGAAAAGGATTAAGTCAATGGCGTGACAGGAAGTATGTCAGAGTTTTGATTGGATTTCTTGGAATCTTGAATAATTATTTTGCACAAAGGCCTTAACTAAAGTACATTATTTAACGCGGATTCAAAGATAAGTAAGTAATACGTAAAGCTCTACCCAACATCGGGAAGCAAAACTTCCCAAAAGGTTTTCTTTTTTCACGTTATTTACCCACTATCTGCAGCACGTCCTTGAAGAAACAAACAGCCGGTAAAGCTGTTTCTTTTTTCACGTTATTTACCCACTAACGGGAAACACCAGCTGAATCCAGACAGCCGTTCGATTCATTAGGTTTGTTTTTAAAACCACTGAAGTGAAGTGTTTCTGCAGCACGTCCTTGAAGAAACAAACAGCCGGTAAAGCTGAGCGCCACCTACAGTAGTTAGAAAGAAAAAGAAAAAAAAGAAGGACTTTGTCGGCTTAACAAGGGCCTCAACCAATTACTAGTACATCAGGGTTAGTGATGTACCAGTGTGATGATGTCATGGAGGTCTCTCGAGTCAAGTTTCTTCTTCGCTGTCTCCTTCTCGCTCTTTAGTGATTCTGCATTCAACCAGTATTTTGCATGTCTTTGTTAGAGCTTTTTTTTTTTCCCTTTCTTTACTATTTAAGTCTCAACTTGGCTCGGGGGGAGGGTTGAGCCCCACATGAGAATTCTTTAGGTCTAAACAGCCTGGTTTTGTGTAAAAATGGCCAATACAAATCTTGACTCTTGAAGTTGTTTGCAGCTTTATCTTGACCGCTGGACAATCATTTCTGCGTTCAAACGGAAATCTGTGTTGCACTGTTAAGAACAAATCCATCAAACAAATGTGATATGTAGTATTTTCCCCAATGGAAGAATGGGAAACAGTATTATTGCTGCATCTGCCTCGGTGTGTTTTTGATTTTTTTTTTGTTGCCGGTTGTACACATTGGATAGTGCAACATTCGCTTTCGTTTGTGTTGTTTTTTTTCCGGGAACTTCCCCCATTATGGCTCGGACTCTTCTGATGTTTTGATGTGCTTGATTATGATGTTAGCGTCAGTGACATATGTAGGCACTTATGCACAATATGCGATCTCCCCCTTGCGGCAAAAATCGAGGTACGTCGCATCGTAGGAAAAAGAACTCGACGTAAGTCAAGGGCTCCCCGCAGTTCCGAGTTTTGAAAAATACAACGCAAATGGACCCTGTGTATGATTGACAGCTGTTTTCAACCAACAACCTCCCATGGAAACTAAAGCCCTGCACTCCATCCACGGCCAACCAAATCCAACATGCAGCGATTAAGCTTCCGAGCAAACATTTTCACTTTTGCTCCTTGGCTACTTTTTCTTCTTCATTCCCCCCCCCCTCCCCGTCATTCCATCTTTAATTAGCATAACTAATGTGCCATCCCCCCACAAAGCTCCACTGTGGAGCCTTCGGGCACACAGCTAATATCACAAAGTGTTTTGTATGGTCTTTACCCTAAATATTCACAGTCTCTTACAACTGGAGGCAGAAAATGTCTTAGCGTGCAGCCAGGAAAAGTTCCCTTTGTTTGTTCAGTGTTCTAAAGTACAGCGTTGCATCACTTTGGGGTGGGGGGGTGCTTGTAATGTGACCATCTTATATTAGGTTGGATTATGAAGACATCCATCAAACGGCACAAGAGTCCAACCTAGTGCTTCTCAGAGTTAGCCCCGGGGAGACACACTCGGTGTCTGAGTCCACAAAATAATTACCAATGATTACCTTCATGCTCTATGAGGACGTATTCGGACATCTGGATATATTCATGACTGAAATCGGACTGAACTAGAAAATGATGGATATCACGGTGACAATGAACCTAACCTGACCTAATAGGCCCAGTCAAGTCAGGTTAATTGCATGTTCAGCAACGTAACTCTTTATTCACAATGTTATTTTGAGGCATCAAGCGAGGTCCAGGTAGGAGTTTTTCTAGACTATACGTGTCAAACTCAAGGCCCGGGGGCCAAATGCGGCCCGCCCAAGCCATTCTGTATGACCCACCGGAGCTTAAAAAGTATTTAGCAGTCCATGCAGCATGAGTTTCTTAACCTAAGAAATTAAAAAAAAAATAAAAAAAAAATACTACACAGCCATGAGCAGCATTTGTACCTTGAACAAATAATAGTCAATTGCAGAAACATGTATTAGTCTGTTATGGAGTAGTTACATCTATACCAGCGGTCCCTGACATTTTTTGTTCCAAGGACTGGTCTGCCAGTATCACCCGTTACTACAGACCGTTAGCAAGGTGCTGAGCATTGAAATTAAATTCAAAATAAATCATCTCTCAGACTCTGTTCTGTTAACATCAGAGTCTGAATGAAATGTTATTTTAAATAAAGTAAATGGATGTGACTGGATTTTCTTTTGAATGAAGTAAATTAGTAAAAATTATGTACATTTTTTTCCACTGTGGTCCGGTATAAAATGACCTACGGACCGGTACTGGTCCGCGGACCAGGGGTTTGGGGAAATATGAATACAAAATTATCAATTTTTGGCAGGGTCAGATAATTTTTCTGATATTGCCAGGAAGAAAAAAATATTACAATACAAGTCAACTCCCATTCGTACTGTGGGAACATGTTAATGTTAAGCGATTTCAAATATCCCTATTGTCTATTGTAACATTTTTAACCACCTACTACAGACGGCAAGCTGTAAAAAAAAAAATGACTGTCCGACCGGGAAAATCTCACCTGATCTGTTTCCTTTGCTCCTTTGTGTCAATAAAACAAAAACAACCTATTCCTGATTTATTTGCTCGGAACGTTTACATGCACCTCATCTTCCTTGCAGCATTCATGTTTTTCCCACATTACAACCTTAAATTATTTGAACACAACAAAGTTGGAAGAGCGACTTGGCAAACTGGGAAGTTGGATCTTCTGACACCGCGGCAAAACTTTCATCCTCGACCGTCTTTTTTTTCGAGTGATAAAATACCAGGTTAATTTGGTTCCTAGCAGACGTCTTTCAAATTCAGAAAGACGTGAAGGAGCATTACCGCCATTTTAACCAAATGGTGTGAAGGGTTATAGATGGGGTTAAAAAAAAAAAGATTTTTTTTAATGTTAGGATTATGGATATTGAGATAATTCTCTTTTCGTTCCTGTTTTGTGGCCTTAGATTTTACAACTCTAGATCTTATCTACGCAAAAGTCTCTTATGTAAAGCTCAAAGCAATCGACCTGCGGTAACTGCAGTTACCAGAAAAAGTGCCTTATCTACGCAAAAGTCTCTTATGTAAGGCTCAAAGCAGTCGACCTGAGGTAACAGCAGTTACCAGAAAAATAAAGTACTGAACATACAGTAGGAGCCTTCACAGTCAGATACTTGAAACAAATACATTCGCTAAAAAATATATCACGAAGGCATCGAAGCCTTTGAAGAGAAATCACCTCTAAGGCTGCGATAATGTTGAACCTGAGACGTTAAACGTACGTGAAACTGCCTAAAAAAGATCCCTGGGCAGCGCGAGGACGAAAAAAGATGCCAAGGAAAGCAATAGGAAAGCAATTCCTCAACACGTACACGAGTTGTGTGCACATAAAAAACAAAACAAAAAAAAAAAGAAACATACACACAGAGACAAACACACACAAACAAGTTGCAGATTGCATTAAGGAGAGTAAATGGTGAGTTTCTGCCTGAAGGGCTCTCTCTGAAGTCGATTAGTACGAAGCGAGAAAGACGTGGCGCTGATGCCCTATAGATAAGCTGGTACTTCCCCCACGGTATTGATCTCTTAACATCTAACACCACCCGGAGACTCGTCCGTCACAGTGACGGCCGGCGTCGGCAGGGGAAGAGGAGCTCTGAGGTCACGTGACTTCCCGAACTCTTTAATCGTCCAGACCGAGGACACAATTTGCCCAGGAACGTTGTTCACTGCTTTTTTTTTTAGCAGGGTTGTTTACGTGTGCGACTAATTATTTGAGAAAGCGCACTTCACTTCGACTTAGACACCTCTAAATGTTTGGCAAACTGAGAAATTTTGAAATTTTGACTTACCTAAATTTGGCTTGCTTTGACGTGATGTTTAGGTTTAGTGGGTAGACGTGTGACTGACGTCTAACGATCTCTGTTTGAGATGTGATCGCAGGGAAATTCAAGAGATCTGCATGTATTTTTTTTTTTTTTTTTTTTGTAATCTCATTTATGTTCAAAGTCCTACGCC